TGATGTGTGAAAGGAGCCAGGTCGTCCTACTTGCCACAGTGGGTGCTCAAGCCAGAAGGGCAACCCCCCCAACCCCAACACGTACACATTCACTATGTTAGCCCAGCAGGGCCACTCAGCTCTCCCTTGGTCCGCAGAAGTCTCCCCATTTAGGAAACCTGGTTCATGGCCTGCTGGGAGTTTGATTCCAGTGTTGGGAGGTGCAGAGACTGGGGTGGAGTTCGGTGTGTCCTGCTGTGTCAGCCTGCTTTGGCAGAATCCTGCAGCTTAATTTCCACCAGGGTTATGGGTAGGCCCCCACACCAAGCAACTATCAATTCAGTTCTGACTTACCCAGAAATAGCATCACATTCCACAGGTAAAGGGCTGCCTTCTGCTCCACGCAGCCATTGCAAATCCCATATGACTGCCTGGGCTTCTGAGCAAATATGCTGTGATTGGGGGAGGATGCCAGACCAGCCTCCTCTGACCTCTGCTACCTGTCCCAAGCCCAGGTTATCTGTGCTTCCACCTGGCTAAAACTCAGAGGTTCCCAGAACACCCACCTCATAGTCAAATTATTTGCTAGAATAATACAAGAGCTCAGGAAAGCCTTTTGCTCACTCGACTGCTGATTTATTACAAAGGATAGTGGAGGATACAAACCAAAAGCCAGTTGGAAGAGTGCATAGCACAGATGTCAGCATAATGTGGCGCTTCCATGCCCTCGCCACATGCCCACTCCTCTCAAGCCCTCACACACTCACCAAGCTGGACGACCTCTGAACCCCCTCCTTGGGCTTTTATGGAGGTAATAGCGCACTAGCACAGGTCATTCGATCACTGGCCCTGGTCAGCTGAGCCCCACCGCTAGCCCCTCTCCCTAGGGGATCAGGGTGTGGACTGCACACAGTCCTGCCTGCCCCTGAGTTGATGGCTCTAACCACCAGCTCCAATCCTCAGGTGCTCTGCAAAGGTCACCCTCACCAAAAAAACCTTTAACACTGTCAGTATTGAGGAAATTCCAATGCTTTTGGGAAAGCTGTGAGACTAAAAGTATGGCACTCCAGTAAGTATGAAAACATATTTTGGACATGGGAGTAAACAAAATATATATTTTTTGAATTACGAAACAACCACCTTCCTTCTTACTAAAGATTTGAGTAGTAAATCTTAAGTACTCCAGGTTTTTGTTTTTTTTTTTTTAATTTCTGCACAGAAGAACTGGGGTGTTGGCCAGAGGTTGGGTGGGTGAGAGAATTCATGAGACAGAGTGGGGAGCAGAACAGGCAGATCGATGAAGTACAGGGGGAGCAGCAGGCGGGTCAGGAGAGGTCTGCCGCGCCATGTGGGTCAGCTCCCTGGCCAGGATCAAACTCAGGCCATTGTGGTGATAGTGCAAAGACGTAATCCCCGGCAACCAGGGAGACCCCCTCTTTTTGTTTGTCTTTTGGATAATAACCATTTTCATGGATGTGAGGAGAAATCTCTTTGTGGTTCTGAGTTTTCATTTCCTTTATAATAAGAGATGACAAATGTGTTTTCATGTGCCTGTTGGCAATCTGTCGTCTTTGGAGCAGTGTATATTCAGATCCTCTTTCTGCTGTAAAATTAGGTGGTTGTATATAAAAAATTCACAAAATCCCTTTGGATATTCACTTTGTTGGACATACTGTGCAAATATCTTCTCCCACTCAGAGGCTGTAATTTCATTTCGATGGGCTTTTTGTTTGCTTGTATTTATATTTTCACTGTGCAGACGCTCTTTGGCTTGATGTAGTCCCAGTTTTTTCTTTCTTTCTGTTTGTTGAGTTCCCAAAGGTATCTCTAAGGCCGATGTCAAGGTGTTATTGCCTTGTTTCTTTTATGTTTTGTTGTTTCAGGTGTTAATACAATATTTAAACCATCCTTAAGTACTTTTTGTGCTAGTGTAGTTTCCTATTTTTGCTTGTGGCTTTCCAGTTTTCCCAGCACCATTTACTGAAAAGATGTTCTATTATATGCTTTTGGCTCCTTTGCCATAATTATTTCATATTTGTGCATTTTTTTCTTGGTTCTCAATTCTGCTCCATTGATGATGTGTCTGTTTTTATTTCAATACAATGCTATTTTGATTATTATGGCTTTGATGTTGGTGAGTATGATGTCTACATTTTTTATTGTTTCATCTATTTTTTTTTATTCCAGTTCTTCTAGGGAACAACTTTCATGTTTTCTATTTCTGTGAAATGTCAATGAGATTTCTTTCTAATAGTATGGCACAAACTTCTTATTTTCTAATTTCCTTACATCTGTTGATTTTTACTGTATTTGACTCTCCCTCAGGCTTAGCCGCCATAATTCTCCCACCATATCATGCGTGCTCCATCACCACAGCCCCTGGCACCCTTCTCGCCCCTGCTTCGACCCCTTCCGCTCGCTTCTGTACGCCTCAGATCTATGGTCAGCTTGCAAGTTTTGTGGGGTTTTCCCTGACACTTTTGTTCTGTCTATGCTGCATATAGGTGAAACCATCCAACATTTATATTTTCCTTCTGACTGACTTGGTATTGCCACAAGTAGCATGCATTTTTTGGTCACTGAGTAGTATTCCATTGTGCACAAATAGCACATCTTGATCCAGTCGTCTGTTTGGAGGCATTTATGTTGTTTCCATATCTTGGCTATTGTAAATAATGCTGAAGTAGGTAAGTGTGCAGGTTTCTTTTCCAATTAGTGTTTCTGTGTCCTTTGAGTAGATTCCTAGGAGTAGAATCCCTGGGTCTAATCACTAGATTATATGGCACATGCAATTCTAGTGTTTTGAAGAACTTCCACACACTTTCCATAGTGACTAGACCAGCCTGCCTTCCCGTTAGCAGTGTGAGGGGTTCCTTTTCACCACATCCTCACCAGCGCTTTTGTTTTTTAAATATGTGCCATTCACGTATTCACATGTGTAAGGTGGTATCTCATTGTGGCTTTGATTTGTATTTCCCTAATAAGTGATGTTGAACATATTTTCAGATGCCTATTGGCCATTTGCATTTCTTCTTTGGGGATTTTTTTTTTTTAAAGCTCTGCTGCTATGTTTTGTTTTGATTGGGTTGTTTGCTTTTCGTTGTTGTGGAAGCTCTTTGGTGTCAGTCCCTTATCAGATATTAAGGTGCGCAAGACATTTCCTTCCATTCAGTCACATTCCTCTGTCTTGGTTGTGGTCTCTTTTGCTGTACAGATGCTTTTTAGTTTCATGCAGTTGTTTAGTTTCCAGCTGTTTACACTGTCCTTTGTTTTGTTTCTGTAGTTGAGTCCTCAGAGATGTTTGTGAAATTTGTCATAGTGTTTTGCCTTGGTTTTTTTTTTTTTTTTTATGGTTTCAGGTGTTACATTCTACTCTTCTATTCATTTTGAGTTGATTTTTGTTTTGATTAGTGAGTCTAATCCACTTATAGTCAGGGTGATTATTGACATGAGGTCTTACTACTGCCATTTTTTTGTATTTTCTGGTTCTATTGATTGTCTTTTCCAGTGATTTTTGTGAACCTTTTTCAATTTAGATAGAACTACTGTCAACCATTTTGGAAAGGAGGTCTAGTGGTGACAAGTTCCTTGTGCTTTTTGGGGGTAAAGCTCTCACTTCTCCCTCATATAAAAGTTCTTTGCAGGATATAGTACTCTTGGTTGGAATTTTTAACTTTTGAGATCTTTATATAGATAGATCGATTGATCGATAGATAGATAATAGCATTTTCCCCTTAGCCACCTTTAACATTCTTTATTTTGGCTCATGATAATTTCACAGATATATATGCCTTAGTGTGTGGTTCTTTGAATTTAGTTCAGATGTTCTCTTAGCTTCATGGACTCACACATTCAGTTCCCTTCTCACATTTGGGAAGTTGTCAGCTATTTATTTGAATAAGTTTTTTTTTGTTCCCTTCTTTCTCCTCCCCTTCTGGGGTACCCCACAACCTGTATGCTGCCTGCCAATAGAATCTTATATTTCTTGTGACATCTTGTTTTTATATTTCTCTCTTCTACCTGGAGCATTTCTAAGTTTATATCTTGTTGTACCACTGGGGTAGGGGAGGTGAACAGAGGGGCTGCCCACTGTGTGGGCATGTTAGTCTTCCTTACCCCACATAACAGCTTCCGTTGTCACATTCCACTTCCCTCCTTGATGCTTCTCTTCTGCATCTAACCTACCCTGTCCTGAGGAACTTCCGGGGTCCGCCTGAATAGTCATTTTAAGACCAGCTGATTATCAAACTTATTTCCATCTGTAACCTTAATTCTCCTTTGCTACAATGATAACATATTCTTGGGGCCTAGGGATTGCCAGGGACACCTTTGCGCCATTATTCTGCCTACCACAGGTGTTAAATACCAAAGTGTCTTTCAGGAAAATGTTGAAGTGGCAGACTTTCTACGGGGTGTGCCCACACAGACACACATCCCTTGATATTTGTCAGTGACAGGCTGTGTATGTGATGGTCACCCCAACTGGCTAGGTTGGTGCATTTAGAAATAACATCACCTAACTCCATTTCTCAGAACGCATTACTGTCAGGAGGCACACGATTGTTGGTTTTTAAAGTGCAGATTTTTTTGGTTAAGCTGAAATTCAGAATCCATTTATAAGTTATTAGACAAATCATAGTGATGTGCCGTAAACAGGGACTGAGACTGAAAGCTATTAGACAATTTGTGTTCTAGCTCTCTGTATTCGCTTGCTAGGGCTGCTAATCTATCACAGATGGGTGGTTAGAAATTCAGAGTAACATGTTGTGGGGTTCATTTCTACTAAGGTATTTCTCTGTGGCTGGTAGAGGGCTGTCTTCCTTATACTAGATTAAGCCCACCCCAATGACCTCAGCTACTCTTAATGATCAATTTCATGATTAAGGATCATATGAAATTGGGAGAGGCACATAATTCAGTCTAACAAATTTAATAATTGTAAAGAAGGGGGGGTTGGGGAAGATGTAACTTGTACTCATTCACAATTACTCACGTTGATGTTTTTTCTAAAAAAATGGTGATTTATTTTGCTTTAACATACAATGGTAAATATAACGGGATCATCAAGTTTTCAAAACACATTTGCTGGATTTAGTTGTACAACATTACAACACTAAAGTAAGCTCGACAGCTTTTCCATATAAGGGGTCCAATTGATGCCTACTAGCAGTTTGGCTAATAATGAACATTAAAAAGAAAGTAGACAATACATTGTAAATATAAAGAACTTTTCTCCAAATGTGTATAAAAGTTTTGAAACAAAACCACTGCCTGCTCCACAGGACAGACAACTAGGATTTTAAAAATGTCCCGCACCGGGAATAGCATAATCCTGCGTGGCTCTATTTTTATCAAAGACTTTTACACTTGATTTTAAAAAAAATCTGGAGAAAAAAACAGTAGCCAAGGGACTGCACAACCAAAAAAAAAAAAAAACTTATAAAATATTTCCACTGCTATTTAAATGCCAAATGTAATCAAGCACTAGTAAAAACATCATAATACACCCTTCTGTTTAAAATAACAGCACTGTTCCACCTCTTTTCCATTGAATTTTACATATGAACAGACTATATATACTGGTTTTTCAGAGAAATGTCCATTTGGTCTGTCTCACCAGTCAGGCTCACACTGAATGCTCTTTGGAGGAGATGCGGAACCACGATGTTTGCGCATACTCAGCATTCTGGGTTAGGTGCAATGTCTCAAGTATAATAACGTTTCTCTTTTCCTTTACACAGTGCAGAGTATATGGGCTTAGGTTATGTAGATTGTTTTACTCCAGGTCACTGTCTTTGTCTAAATTCAGGGCGCTATTCAATGGGGTGCAGTAGTTTGGCTTGTCAGAAGGTACGTAGCCAGGGAGACACAAACACTTGTACGAGCCTTCAGTGTTAATGCACCTGGCGTTCTTGCAGAGAGACATCCGGTTGTTCAACTCATCACATTCGTTCACATCTGTAATAAGTCAAACCAGGCAGTTAAGTAACCAAACTTGTCCATGAGGACAAGCAGCCTACAGCTTACCAGAGGCACCTGCCAGCTTGTTCTCTGCTCGTTCCCTGGCAAACTATACCTAATTTCTGCATTATCTAGTTGGTTTCCATCACAAGCAAGGGCTCTAAAAGGCAGATTGCCACAGAGGTTTTAGAATTTACTTGTTATCTGGCACAAATGAACATTCTGTCAGTTTCCTTGAGGTGGGACTGTAAGGAACTAGCCTCGGTTCCTTTGCACAGGTACCTACGAGCATACAAATGAGCACGGCACCGAACAGCCTTTAAGCTTCAATCTCCTGTTCACTTGAAATACCTGTAACACCCCAATGCACCCATCAGAACCCCATAGATTAAGTCTAACAATATTCAGGAGTAGTGAAGGGACTGCTGTAGGAGGGAGCATACACTCTCCTGCTAAGTCAAGAGCCTTTTAGTCTAGATGACAGCACTGGTCCAAGGGGAAGAATAAATGTCTTCCCTTTTACTTTTGAAACCTAATGAGAATGTTAAGAGGAATTCTCCAAGACAGATGTCAATGGAAGCTGTTTACCGGTTTTTTTTCTTTATTTTTTAGATGCAAATACTCCCTTACACTTGTATCAGCTATTTAGTGACTCTTTGTTGCAGAGTCAAAAAAATAAGAGTCAGAGTAAATACTTGGGACATTCTAGCCTTTCCTTCATAGGTAACCCTATCAATTCTTATAGCAACCACACAGCCAATCACTACCACTGCCCATCTTCAGAACACTTCTCACTTAGTTTAAATGTAAGCAACTGTATGAAATCTAGTCACAGAATAGTCTCCTCATGAGACAGAGCATTCTCACCAACACATGTCATCTTGGCCATATCCAAGTGGTAGCCATCGAAGCAGTCACAGGTGTAACCTTCCTGCACCCTCACACAGCGGCCATTTTCACACCCATTGAGGATGCCACATTCCTCAGCCTGCAGCTCTTCAAAGCTATTTAAAAAACCTGGAGAGGAAAGTGCAGTGCTCAGTGAGGAATTTTCAGCCTCATTTTATATAAAATGCTTTACATATATACATACTTTAGACACTTTAAAGTTGAGTACTGACTGTATCTGTATACAATAGCAAACATACAATGTCAAAAACTTGGCTGACATACAGATGAGTTCCATATCCTGAATTCTGACGTTCTATATTGAAATCCTATAAAATATGAAGGCAAGATTGGTTTTGATTTTTGCTACTGATGTTTTATTCCCAAACTCCAAATACTCTAAGTAGGGTAAATGTCAGATAATCATTCAAGATCAAACCAAAGGAATTCGTTACTACCAGTCAGTACAGATTTGCTAAGATCTCTGAGTTTGAAGAGGTGCTTTTTCTTTTCTTTTCTTTCTTTCTTTCTTTTTTTTTTTTTTGTGTGTGATGCTTTTTCAATTGGATTTCCCAAGAGCAGAGAAAGGCAGGCTGGCCTTGCTATGTAAAGTCTGTTTGTTTGCTCTGGCTTTGAAAAGAGTCTTACAAAAAGAGCTCTTAGTTGATCAAAGTATAAGAGCAGTAAACGGGACTCAAAACATCCTGAAAAATGAGGAAAGGACATCATACTTGTGTATGGAAAACCAAAAAGTTTTCAGAGTAAATACTTGGGACATTCTAGCCTTTCCTTCATAGGTAACCCTATCAATTCTTATAGCAACCACACAGCCAATCACTACCACTGCCCATCTTCAGAACACTTCTCACCTAGTTTAAATGTAAGCAACTGTATGAAATCTAGTCACAGAATAGTCTCCTCCTAAGACAGAGCATTCTCACCAACACAAGTCTTGTTTGGCTTTCTATCACTTCTAAGCTGTGTTGGCCCATTGAGAGATACAGGTTAGTAATGTAAAAACAATGGAACTGGGCATCAGAGGTTCTAGTACTCTGTAGCAAGAAGAAAGTTATCAGTATAAATCCATTGCACCCCAACACTCTGTTGATGGGGTCTTTCATCCTCTCCGCAGCTTCCAAACATGACTTTCTCATTTGTAAGCTAACATGTAGTGTCAGAATCCTGGGCCCTGTGAAGTAATTCTTCGGTAGAACTGCAGAGGGCAGCAGACTTGCGTAGATGGGTTATGATTTCTGATTTTACAGCGTGGGTAACTAGACCTTGCCAGGTCCTTTAAAATGTTTTAAATATCAAAATTTAGAAAATATCACAGGCCAGCAAGAATGTCAGCAGACCCTCAAATTCAAATTAAGACCTTATTTTCTTATAGCAAAATAATTTGGGCTCTAAAACTAGCCAAAGACATTATCAGAGAAGTTAAAAGATGACATTAACATTTGAAACCCCTACAGACATCAAGTTGATTTGCAAAAACAATTTCCTTGGTTACAAAGGACAGCTGCAAATCAGACCTGTTACCTGTTTTTCTAAATAAAATTCCACTGGCACATGGCATGCCCCACTGCAGACATGCTGTCTGTGGCATGGTCATCCTACAGTCAGAGCTGAGTAGGAGACGATATGAAAATGACTCCGCAAAGTTGCTTCTTAACTTCCTGTGTTGCCCAAGAGGAAAATGATGTGACATCAGCATTTTCTTAACATTTGTAGCAAATTTAAATTGCTTGAAAGCAATCTAGGCTTCAGAAAGTCACAGTCCGACTTAACTATAACCGATAGACATTCTGCACATAAGCTGTGGAACTGTATCTCTTACCTGTAGATTTTAACCTCCGATTTTGCATTTATGGGGCAGGCAAACTGGGTTTTTTATTTCAACCTTAAAATTTCCTTTCCCTTTTACTTAAAATTTTTTTTTTAAAGATTTATTTATTTATTCATACAGAACTGGGGTACAGGCCAGAGATGCGGAGGGTGAGAGGATTCACCAGAGACAGAGCGGGAAGCTAGAACAGGCTGATCAATGAAGTACACTGCTGGGGGGAGCAGCGGGCGGGTCAGGAGAGGTCTGCCGCGCCATGTGGTCACCTCCTGGGCAGGCGGGGATCGAACTCATGCGGAAGTGGCTTTAGTTTCTCAGTGCAGTGCTTTAACCCGCTGCGCCACCAGGGAGGGCCCCCTTTTACTTAAATTTTAACCAACAAAATGGCAAAACCAAACAGCCTTCCAGCTGTCAGGTTAATGCACTGGATTTCTAAGTGGATGATGCGAAAGTACATTAGTCTCAGGTGTTACAAGGCAAATGGTGGTTACCCTGGTGTGTATGTATGGTGGGGGTATGCAGCAGGGGTATGCTGGGAAGCTGGCCATGTTCATAACTGGGACAAGGTCAAAGAGATGTGTTCGTCAACCCTGCTGCATTGATAAGTGATTTAAATTTTGCATGTAATTGCTTTACATTAATTTGGCTTGATGACCATTACACTGAATTCTTAAAAAAAAAAATGTCAGGGAGAGAAACTGGACTCTGGCCTGAGGCAGCTCCCCAAAGCCTTTGAACTCTCCTTAGGAGCCAGATCAGGGTGAACCTGCTCAGGGCAAGGCACCAGGCACCAAAAAATGACCCCATTTTTGTTGTATTTTTTAAATTCATCAACATTTCCAAAGATATCACCCCAACTCCCTTGTCCACAGGGACCCTCTGTCCTGAAACTCTGGGGGTCACATGTGCACCCCATTCTGCACCCTCACACATTTTCCTTCCCAGCACACCACCCCACCACCTACATTCCTGCAATTCCAGGGAAAGCCAGCGCACATCATTTCTTACTCAACAAATCCCCCGATGAGTGAATTCTAAAAATTCTGATCAGGAGAGCAATTTTTTTGGCTTTCCACGCAAATGCTTGTCAAGATCAGGTTGGTACAGTTAACATCTGTCATTTCCTTGTATGAAAAAAGATTGTAACGGAAATGGGGTTTCAAGAAAGCCCGGCTTAATGGGTTTCTAGACCACTATTTAGGGGGCAAAGAAATGGGAGTCATAGAAGTAAGATTTTTTTCAACTTTAAGGAAAGTAACATAGGGACACCCAAGGGAAAAGCCCATGAAGTCACAGCTGAGCTGCATGGGAAGGCCAGTGGGTGTGGCTGGCTCACGCTGGGGTTTCAGATAACAAGTCCAGCGGGTGGCCCCAAATGCTGTGTTCTCACATGCTCCCAGGACATTTTGAGGACCATCAATGAATCGTAAGCCACAAGCTTCACAATGACCAGAAAATGTCACTTACGGTCCTGAATGAAGTAGGGGTCGGCTTCTGGAGCGTACTGCTCGCTAAAGTCAACAAGGGCATCCCGCCCGTAGGGCTGCCGGCGTCCTGTGACGGGGATGTTGCACAGCTGGGCGTAGTCATCTGAGAAGGAAAGGGCAGGGATGTGATATGCCGTCACCATCTGCCAGCCCTGTGGCCTCCCCGCCACCCCCCCACACCCTTGCTCACTGTAGCAGTGACCATCACAGCAGTAACAGTGCCACAGTGGGAGAAGGAGCCGTAACAGCCAGTGGTCATATAACTCCTGCTCGGTGCCAGCTACCGTCCTAAGTGCTAATGCACATCAATTCCCTAACACTCACACCCCCTGCGAAGAGGCGCTGCCATAGTCTGCATTTACTGCTGAGGACACAGAAGCACGAAGTCGCTCAGTGACAGCACCTGTGTGGCAGCACCAGCTCTGGACTCTCTGTGTCGCTCTGCCTCTCCACCTACCTGGGCTCCGCTGCATTTTTTACCTCCCTGTGCCTGGGCTGGGTTCCGCTGCCATGACCACCTCCTGAGGTCACGTGCCTGTTCCACGCACGGTCCGCCCATGGCCGCCTAGCTCTGGACTCCTAAGCTTGCCTTCTCAGTCTTCCTCCAGGACGCACCCAGCACATGGCACCTTAGCTCTCCATGTGCCCACTACATTTCATGGCCTTTGTCTCTGGTGTATTTACCAGCAGAGACATGTAGCGGACTTAGAAGGGAACACTTCATCTTCTGCATGCCTGTTTTACAGAAATGCACTGCCCAAGGACTGAGCTGGTAATTTGGCAGAGTTGTTGAATTCCTGGCTGCGAGATGCAGGGTGGCAGGCTCATGTGGCAACTGCATGGGACTCCAGGCGGACTTTTCTCTGTTGGCTCCTTTTGTCACACACAAGCCTCAAGGCAAGCACAGAGGGAACAATGCTAGCTTCTGAGGTTTGCTTTCTGCGCACTGAAGAAATCAAAGGTGTGTGTGTGGATGTGTACATAATTGCACAGAAATGTAAGGTCAGAAGATAGAACCATCCTGGCTAGAATAGCATTACAGTTGCCTCTCCTAAAATTCTCCCCATATAGAAGCTTCCAGGATCAACACAGAGAACCCAGACATCTCCAAGTCTTTTGCATGAAATCATTTCATAATAACTCATTGAGGAAAGAGCTAAACTTGGAAAAAGATCCTGGACTGAAAAAAAAAAAAAAAAAACAACCCATCTGAATTCAAATAAACAGAACACAAATGACTGTCACTGCTGCTTCAGGTTTGAAAAAGAATTCAGGCTTTCCCTGAGAGAGGAGGTCTCCAAAATGTTCTGAGTTTCAGAAGCTGAGGTCATATGCTCCCATGAGTTTATATACATTTGTTGTGCATCTGAAAGGGAGACTTGAGCATTTTATATCCAAGCAACAGTTGCGATCAAGAGTGGATATTAAAACTAAATTAATTCATGTCGTTTGGTCAAAGTGAATCCAGAGATGGCTAAGCATGCCTCCCTCGAACATCGGGCTGGCAGTAAGCCGTGTGGAGACCCCAGGGCTCCCAGGCCCTGACTGCATGGGGCCACTCCAGGGCTGGCTGGCCCCGATCTATGCCCTTCCAGTAGACCATGCGTCCTCCACCAAGAAATGCACTGGCCTCCACCCTCCAAGCGCTTCCATCTGGCACTCACTGGTGGGAGAGCTGTGGAGGAGGAACAGACTTCTCTTCCTGTGCAATGTTTAGAAACAGATTCCTGGGAAAGGGTGGCTCCTGCACTGCAACTGAGTGCACAAGTAAAATGCACTTTACAGAAGAGATTTTGAGTAAATCTGAAAGAGCTGATCCAAAGGCGGCAGGAATGCACTGGAAGCTCAGTAAGGCCAGGACAGGTGACAGCCAAGATCCCTAGTGCGGGGTGGGCACTGAGGACGGACTGAAGAGGAGTTTCGAAGGTAGCCTAGTGTCAGCGCAGCGAGCTTGGGGACGATCAAGTGTTTCGTAAGGAAGGTTTTGCCTTGACCGAGGCTGGTTCAGGGGCAGAGAAGAGTTGTGGGGAGGGGACCTCAGGAATCGCCACACTGTCATCCCCCACCCACACCAGTTTCTCCCAAGCCGAGCCTTTTTCTCTTATGAGTCTAGACTTGTTCTCTGCTGCTTCACTTTCTCGAACACATTAACATTTCAAATTTCAAGACAGTTTTGGTCAGTTATCAAAACATCATTTCTGCATTAAATGTACTCTTTTATATTTGGAGCTGTGCTCCAGGCCCATCATCACCAGGACATTTCTCTTGAGTTATTTTTCAGGGCGCATGGATGGGTCTCTCCTGGTCCACCCATGCTCCCTCTCCCGCTGTGCACAGCTGCTGCCATGCCTGGCAGGGTCAGGGGTGAAGTAAGCATGGCGTAATGGGAAGAATGTGGGTGTTGGAGGCCGAATCTGGGGCTCAAGTCCTGATCGTGCCACGCTGCTTTTGTTCAGCTTAGCAATTCTGGGCAAGACTCAGTTTCCACATCTGTCAAACAAGGCTGCCAATTTCTGTTTGCCTACTTATGTTACTGATATATTCATATATATATATATATATATATATATATGTACATATATATAAGATAATGTTGTGGAACTGTTCATAGATTTTTGAAGAGAGAAGTTACACGTTTTTCTCATAGGAAACAAATCACTATGTCCCTATTAAACATCTGGACAGAAATGAGGATTTTTCAAAGACAGTGTTAGAATTAGTGATTGATGCAAAATGTAGAGGCATTTGTCAATAAGCAAAGAACCAAGCAGTAAATTAAGAGAGCGCAGTCGCCAGATGTTTTGAGATTTTGGACGTTTTCAATAAATGGAAGAAAACTAGCTTAGTAGACTGCAACAGAGCTTTGTTCTCTTACAAAGCACAAAATTATTCGTTGCCTCGGCAAATTTAATTACCTGATTGGACAGTGATAAAGTATGAGCAAGAGCACATTTTAACACCAGATCAACAGAATTCAAAACATAGGGGAATCATGATGTTCAGTAATTCTTACTATATGCTGGAATCCTTCAGAGATGAACTAACAGGCCACAGGTTTCTCTCCATCTTCCAGCTGGAAATCCGAATTTTTGACTGAGTTGAGGGTGAAGACGCCACTGCAGCCTCTGAGCCAGAGCCACCAGAACCTTCGGCTCGGCGCTGCTGGGCCTTGGTTAACCCAGCGAGCCAGGTCACTGCGAGCGGATGGAACAGAGCCCAGAAACAGCTCGTCTCTGGACTATTCCACCAGCGCCACTTCCCCTAATTCAACTTGTGGGCTGAACACCTACTTTCTGTCTGGACTTGTTTTTCCTTCTCCTGAACACCCTTCACGTAAGCATGTCAACAGCAGTTAAGCCCCTTGCTATCTAGGGCTTGGCACAGAGATACTACTTTGCTTAGCAGAGCTTGTCCTGGGCGGCAAATGCCATGTCTGAGGCAACATACGATGGGTCCATCCAGAACCCAGCACATCTGGATGTGAAACAACTAGGAAATGAACGTATTTACCCCCTCACAGTCTCCCTTCTCGCTGTGCCCACCACCTCCCAAGCACAAACGCTTGATCAAACGCTCCTGCTCAAAGCTCTGAAACACACACCCGGCACGGTGGACACGATGGTCCATACAAGCCCAGGCACTGATCGCAGCAAGGCAGACTCACAGGACAGATGGCACTGCTTTGATTTCAACTGTAAGTGGAAAAAGTTTCAGAAGTACCCCCTGGAGCCAGTGTGTCTGGGGTAACTGCTGTCAGCAGAGAGGGAGGCAGATTACTTACTACACTGTGGCAGGAGACGGCCACGCCTGAGACAGACATGTGCAGGGCTGGTCTGGACAGTCACATGCCACCATGCCCCCCCGGCATGTGGGAGGCCAGGGTTCAGTTTTGACTGCAGCCGATTAAATTCAGCTGCTCTTAGAAATGACGGCGAGGCTGCATGTCATTGCCTACACATTAAGGTGAAGAACTCCGTGCACCGTCTGAATTGCATCATTTTCAAAAAGAGGACAAACAACAAATTCTTAAGCATTTAAAAATATTTTGCTCAGCTTTCTACACACCAGGTGTTTTGCTTACAGGCTTCAACATGCTATTGATAATGGGAAACACACAAGCAGGATACAGAGACGCCAGAAAGGAAAACGCTTCGCCCAGTGCGTGCTGAGTGAGCTTTATAATACACATCTTTTTCTTTGCAATGAACAAAAGCTAGGAAGCAATTTTTCTGACTTTCAGGTCCATCCAGAACTGCTGACAGAGGATGGGATGTGAGCGGGAAGCCTTGACAGGCAACGGTGCAGCCTGCCGGGTGGCCGCTGCTAAGCAAGTGATGGAGAATGAGCCCTGTCTCGGAAGCAGCTCGCCCACGGTAATTGGGGCGCCGCCCTGTCTCCTTTGTGTAAAGTCTTGCTGAGCGGAAAGAGAAAACTGGATACATTTTAAAAAGGCCCAGAATCCAAAGTCATGGGTTCTAAACTGGGCTTTTCCATTCCCTACCCTTTCAACTGGGCACACTTCTGTATCAAAAGAGATTCTGATGGTGCACCTCATGGTACTTGGGAATTAAAAAAATCAATTCATTGTTTCATTCATTCAGTGACTGACAGACTCAAGCAGCAGCTGAGACTACAGGTAGGGTGGGGCTGGGGAGCTGGAAGGAGATACCTGTGCCACACCTGGCGCAAGGAACTCTTCAGTCAGCCTGGAGGAGCGGGGAAGGTCTCCTCACAGAGTGAGTACCTGTGGGAGGAGGTCAGCCAGGGGAACAGGAAAGGTAAGTGGGTCACAAGCACAGGAGTGAGAGGAAGAACCTTGCCAGCATTGCTGCGGTAGGAGAGGCCAAGATAGCGAAGCAGCACACACGTACTGGTAAGCCCGAGACACCAGCTCCCGTGTATGTCTGCGTCCACTTTCTCATTTAATCTCAGAAAAGCCTGATGCTTGTAATTAATGTGTTTCTGGTGAGAAAACTAAGGTTTACAGCACAATTCGCCATAGCTTCCATGAGGTATAAGAACCTCAACAGTCTGTAAAACCATGTTTTTTCTATTCCACAGTGGTCTAAAGCTGAGATGAAAATTATATACACCACCCTAGAC